CCAGGGAGGGGCGGGGCCTGCGACATCCACCCAGGGAGGGGCGGGGCTTGGGAGAGGTGGGGCTTAGGAGAGGAGAGGAGAAGCCAGTGACCCACAGGCTCAGGCGCAGGAGGAAGAGGCCCACCTGTCGTCTGGGCTGAGACCCTGACCCAGGGGAAGAGCGGAGGGAGCCCTCAGAGAGCAGCCCTGGCGCTGCTGCCTGCAGGTCTAGACCCCAGCAGCCTGCGAAACAGGGCCCTGGCCCCCATTCTTCCACCCTCACAGACCCCCTCCAGGGTGGGATAGGGGCCCGGCCCCCTCCCAGCGAGGGGCTGGGGGCTCTGTCCTGTAGACTCCTAGTCCCCATGCAGAGGCCTCCCAAGGACACCTGAGACTTCCAAGTGGAGTTCAGAGGGTCCGATGGCCCAGGAAAGGGCTGTCCCTGCCCTTCCCACCCCTTGGCTTGGCCAGGGAGGCGCCAGTGGGCGTGAGAGATGCTCTTCTAGGCAGTGAGCCAGGGACGGTCAGCGCTGCACCAGGGACAGCTCAAGGGGAGAGCCAGGACGTCTGCTGGGGGAGGTGGCAGGACCCTGCCATGTGGTTCTGGGCATGGGTGACTTCCAGCCAGGACAGTCAGGTCTGGTATAAGTGAGGCTGGGGGCATGCAACCCCATGGAGCGCCAGGATTTGGAGGTGTTGAATCTGGGACCCTGAGGGACCCTGATGACCACCTGCCCCTCTCCGTGGCCTCTGAAGACTTGGCACAGTATGGGGGTAACCCCTGCTCTTAGGGGCCATATTGGGGAGCACAGAAGGGAAAAATGCCCTCAGCATCACCCAGAAATCCCAACAGAGCCACTTGTGACCCTGTGTAAATGTCATGTCCTGCCCCCAAGGAACAAGGGCAAGCAAGCTAATGTCTTGACAGCTGGGACAGGGAGACAGTACCCCCAGGAAGAAACCAAAGCTCTGTGGGTCCAAAGGGTGGGCCAAGGGTCCTGCCTGCCCAGTCCCAGTGGGAGGAGGACAGTGCCATCCTGCGTGGGCCTGGGGTAAATGTGTCCTGAAGACCCCAGAGCAGTGCCCCTGGCTTCTACGGGAAGCATGCCAAGGTCTCCCCTGCTCTCCCCGCTGACCCTGCCCAGCCTTGGCCTTTGTGGGGATTCCCAGGTGGGGGCCCCCGACTCCTGGTACCAGGGACTTCTCTGACACCCTGCAGAGGAAAAACCCAGTTGACCTGTCACCTTGTGGAAGGACAGCCCCACCCAGCGGCAGGTCTCAGTTTCATTCTGACGGGTCAATATCACGCTTTCCCTCTGCACACTTTGGGGGAGGGTCCTTGGGTCTCCCGGACCCCTCAGGGCTCAAGGAGGGTCTGCCTGGCTCTCCAGCCAGCTCCTAACAGACCTGGCACAGGGCAGCCCCGGCCCCTGGGACCTGCACCAAGACGCCTGGGGATCAGCTGTGCCTGCCAGCGCTGCGGGCAGCCTTGACCGTGTCCCCTCCGACCTGGCATTTGAGACAGCTGGGAGGGGGGTGGCCAAGAAAGGGCTGAGGAGGAAGGGGGGCCAGCCAGGCAGCCTAGTCTGTGTCCTTCTATGGGTATGAGGTGGCAGGAGTGAAGTCCAGCACCGGGGACGGCATTGACGTGAGGACACACTTCCCGGCCGGGACACAGCTGTCACCCAGTCACCCTGCTTTCAGAACCAGCAGCCTGTGTGCTCGAGGGGGGGCATACAGACCTGGCGGGGTGTGTGCCGGCCCTCCATGGCCTCTCGTGCAGTACGTGCCCCTACCTGGAGGAAGGCTGCATGGAGCCCCTCCAAGGGGCTGGGTGGCCCTGACAGCCTGGGCCAGGCTCACACGTTCTGAGCCAGGGCCAGCCCTGGCCTCTGCTGAGCCTCCGATGCTCCTTCTGCCGGTCAGGGTCCCTCGGTAGCCCACAAGCCAATTCCAGATTGGCGTTTGCAGTGAGTGGCTGAGGGTAGACAGTCCTCCTCCGCCCTAACCCCCAGACGCACCCAGCTCCCCTCTCTGGCCTGCTCGTGGGCTCAGACAGAGCTACCACCTGCCATCTGCACAGGAGCAGGGGCCAGGATCCGCTTGGCAAGACCACCCGAGGTTGTGGAGACCCTACTGCTTAGATGGGGCCCTCCACACGGCAGCATACAGCAGGGCCCTGCTGGTCACCCTCTACCCAGCAGCCCTGCAGCCGGCAGCAGCCGCAGGCCCCCAGGGGTCTCGCCATCTTCCCCTCACCTGTGTCTGGCTCCTTCCCTTCCACACACCTGGGCAGCAGCCCCACTGTCCTTCTCTGGACCAGCCTCGAGTCCCCCACGGGCTCCCCACCCCTGACTGTCAGAACGTGCTCCTCTGCTCCTCAGCGCCCTGCCTGCCCCCAGGTCCTCTGAGACAGATCCCAGGCAACTCAGGCCCATGGCCCCACTGGGCCTCCATGCCTGACCACCAACAGGCCCCCCAGGGGCCCTGGGCGCCAGGCCCAACGCTCAGGCCCACCCCAGCACAGGATGGGTGCTCAGTGTCTCCTCGGAGGCTGCTGCCTCCAGACCAGGCTGGAGCCCCGTCCCTGCCCGTCGCTGCCCAGCTCTGGGGGTACAGAGGTCTGTCCTTTTTTCTTTTTTAGTGACCCACATGCCTCTGCCCATGTTCCCCTAAGATCTCAGCTGCCCAGCACCGTGCCTGACGCTCAGGACAGGTGTCTGCCCGCATCCTTGGGCTCCTCCATCACCATGGCCAGAAGAGCTGTGGCCAGGTAGCCCTTCTCCTGAGGCCGGGCCAGCTCCCAGGTCTCGGGGCAGAGCAGCTTCTCTCACGGGCCTGTGGGTAGGAGGCCAGGGTCCTGGCCCAGGGCGCCCCGCCTCACTTCCTCCCACAGCAGGTACTGCCTTCTGCAGCCAGGCAGGCCACATCCTGGCTCCCACAGCCCCGCCGTCCTGGCCCTGGACCTAGGGCCCTACAGACTCGTGGGGGAACTGGCCTCCCCAGTGAGGCCGAGTTGCAGAGGGAGACCGAGGGTCACCCACCTTCTTGGTGAGAAGGGCCCGGGAGGAACCCCTGGAGTAAGCGTTGTCCGAGACTCTTACCCTCAGCAGAGCTCCCAGCCCAGGCCATGGCCGCAGACCCTTACCCTGTGCCTTCCTCTGCTAGCAGATCTTCCTGCTCCTCAGAGCCCAGGTCGCTGGGAGCCTCTGCCATGGTCCTCGCGCCTGGCCCCAATCCCTGCGCACTGCGTGCCGTGACTCTGTGTGTCTAGCAGGCGCGCAGCCGCCTGGGCCCCCACCCTGCTAGGTTTCACTTCCTCCTTGATGCACGTTGAGGTTTGGGACCTATGGCTTGGGCTGGGGGTTGTTTTTTAATCTGTTGCTGCAACAGGAGAGGAAAAGAAAAACCCTAAAACCCAAGCAGCCATCAGGAAGTGTTAAGTAAGCTGCCGTCACCCAGGGTGACCAGAGGGGACGAGGGCAGGGGCGGGGCCCGGCAGCTCCCCGCAACTCAGTGCAGGTGCAGCCGGCTAGGACACCCCGACACCCCAGGGCCCCTGCCAGCAGCCCTGGCCCCCAAGTGCATTTGTGAGCGGCTGCTTCTCCCCAGAGCATTGGGAGCTGATTCACCCTCCCTAAAGCACCGCAGAAGCACTTTAGCCTCTGCATGAAGTCTTCCCGAGGCCTGCTCTGCTTGTGCCCCCTGCCCTGCCGGGCCTGCTCTGCTTGTGCCCCCTGCCTGCCGGGCCTGCTCTGCTTGTGCCCCCTGCCTGCCGGGCCTGCTCTGCTTGTGCCCCCTGCCCTGCTAGGCCTGCTCTGCTTGTGCCCCCTGCCTGCCGGGCCTTGGGAGGGCTCTGAGGTAGAGAGGGTAGGAGACAGGCCCAGGAGGCCAGGGGCCGCCGTCCACCCGCACACACCTTAAGTGGCAGCAAAGGCCCACGCCAGCCCCAAGCACGGGTCCCCACGCCACAAGCACTGGGCAGGCTTGACCAGGCAGGGCCCAGGGCTGCCAGGAAAGACCCAGGCCCCGTTGGGGTGGCCGCTTCCTCTCCAGCTGCCCTCCTGTTACATCAGCTGGACATTTTCATCCTCACTCATGGCCCCCCGAGTCCCCTTGGTGCAGGGACTGAGAGTACATGTGGCACATGAGAGAGCCCAGTGGCACTCTGTGTGTCCCCCTCCTGAACCCACCCTAAGAGGTCCCCGTGGGCTCCCAAATGGCAGCCCCCAGTCACCCCTCCCTCTGGCCAGGCACCTGGTCAGCAGGCTTCTGCCCCAGCCAGTGTCCTGTGGTGAGACTGAAGAGGATGGTCAGGTGGTGGCCCATGTCCTCCCTCTCCTCGTCACTGCTGGAAGGCTGGACCAGCTTCTGCATCCTCAGGGCCCAGACCCAGGCAGGGCCTCCCCGAGGGAAGAGTCCTGTGGCCTGAATATGTCCCCTACCTGCATGTGTTGGAAGCAGGTCCCCAGGACAGCATGTCAGGGAATTACAGGGACATCTTGAAGGAGATTTTGTCCTATAGCTCAGCAGTCTCTCTTAGGTTTGTGTCTCACCTGTGATGGCCTCTGCATGCCATGAAGGAGCACCACCTCTTCACCAACATTCAGCACCATGTTCTTGGACCTCCCTGCCTCCAGAGCCCTGAACTCAACAAACCTCAGTGCTTCATGAATTACCCAATCTGAGGCATTTTGTCACAGCAACAGAAAATGGATGCAGACCCTTAGGACCTGGAGGCCCACTGTGACTTGCCCAGTCCAACCCACTTTTTTTTTTTTTCTTTTGGTTCAGGAGGTTAAACCCAGGGGTGCTTCACCACTGAACTACATCCCCAGGTCTTGTTCCCGCTGTGGACCGGTGAGGAGTCCTCGCTTCCCCAATGCTGAAGTATAACACCAGAGAAGCAGGCCGAGGCCCGTGGAGAGTGGACAGTGGAAGCTTTATTAAAGGTCAGCAGAAAGGACTTCTCCCCGGAGGAAGAAGGGGACCCAAAAGGCGGAATCCGTGGAAGGGGAGGTATCCCTCTTTTATAGCCAGCTTTCCCACACTCCTGCCCTGTTTCCCGTCATCTCTCAGTGATAGAAAGCAGGTGGGAAGGCCCAACAGGTGGGGGACAGTGGGCTGGAGGAGTCATCTGGGCAGGAAGGGCCTGGGCAGCTTTTGGATTAGCCCCTCCCTGTTTGCTGGGAGCTGCTTCATTAACAGTTCCAATGGATGGGCTTGGCCTTGGGGACATTAACATTTCAATTTCCCCAAGTGCTGCTCTGCTTTCCTGGACTCCATTCTCGAAAACAGCCTCCATTTTCTTTATCTCACTGGATATTAGACCCTATTTACCTAACTACACTAACTACCTATCTGTAAATCTGGCTTCAATATTAGGGGACAGAGTCTCACAAAGTTGCTTAGGGCCTCGCTAAAGGAGGCTGGCTTTGAACTTGCCATCATCCTGCCTCTACAGCCATGTGCCACCGTGCCCCACTGGACCTACTTTTTAACCCCATCTGAGATGGCAGTTTTTACCCTCCAAGCTTTAGCCAGACCCCAGCCCTTGAAGGAGAAACTTCCTCCCAGGCCTGGGGTGGAGCCTGCCCCCTCCTGTTATGTCTGCTGAAGTCCCGACCCAGGACCTCGAGGTGACCATATTTGGAAATAGGGTGGTTGCAGATGTATCAGAGAAGGTGAGGTCACCAGGGCAGGCCCTGCTCGGGCATGACTGGTGTCCTTGTGAAAAGGGGAAATCTGGTCTCAGACACCCACAGGGAGCACGTCCACAGAACAAGGAACCAAGGGTCGCGAGGAGCAGAGACAGCCCTCGCAGCTGGGAGGGACGGGCTGGCCCACGCCTGCAGGTCCAGCCTTCACCCGGTCCCACCCGTCTGTGGCGCTGCAGGAACTTTGGAAGCCCCTCTGCTTGTCCAGGGGGGTTGGGACTGCCCTCCCTGTCCCTCCACACCTGGCCCCACACCCCTGCCCACTTCAGGACTGGTCTGCCATGAGGATGCTTGGGGCCATGTGCAGCCACCCCAGCCACAGGCCCCTGGACCCTCGTCACTCTCAGCAGACCACACTGGCCACCTCCTGCTTCTCAGAGGAAGTGGCAGCCAGAGCTCAGTGTCTCCTGTCACCCCACCCAGCCACTCCTTGAATCCTGGAGCAGGCGGGCTCCTGCCGCCGAAGCCCTGCTCTCCCTGGGCTCTCGGTCCAGCCATTGCAGATTCAGGCCCTTCGCTGTGGATCCCACCTGCCTCCGGGACCCGCCCTCTTCTCCAGCGCCCAGGTGCAGGCCTCCCACTGTCCACACTCAGAGCCAGAGCCACCTGCAGACCAGACTCCTCTCCTCCCTCCCAGCCAGGACCTGGCCGCCGCCCTGTCACCACTCCACCTGGACCAGCGGGTGGACGGGGGAGTGTGTCAGGTGGGACCATCACCCATCGGGCACCCGCGTGAGCTCCTGAGCGGCACACTCCGTGCTGGTGGCGGACTCGGGAACTGGCTCAGGGACAGGCCCTGGGAGCTGAGCATCACCCCAAGATTCAGACACGACTTTGCTTCACTGGGAATCGTTCCCTCCCCAAACCCCGAGGCAGCATGTGGGGGGGCGGGACCTTGCCACTTCCACCCACTCCTCAGCCCTGGTCCAGCAAGCAGCTCATGGTCAAGGGGACGTGCGAGGGGCAGAGGGCAGCCCAGGTGCCCGTGCAGTGGGAGATGAGGTGGTGGGGCAGAGGGACGCGCAGATGGTCTGGGTGGAGTGACACAGAAAGCGTACCAGGTGGGGCGAGGTGGCCTGGGGCCCGGGAGAGCTGGGTGGAGCCTGAGGGCCCCGGGACCATGCTTTGAAGGAGAGGAGCTGGTCGAAGCCAACGTCTGCAGCTGTCCCCATGGCTGAGCAGGGGACAGACAGCGGACCAGTCCTGAAGTGGGCAGGGGTGTGGGGCCAAGTGGGGGCGTGGGGGGGCTCCCAGAGGCGCTGAGGACGAGGAACCGCCCCACCCTGTGGGCAGAGGGATGCGGCAAAGAGACTTCCAGGTCCTGGCTGGGAGACAGGTGGGCACTCGAGGTGGGCAGAGGGGTGGCAGGTGCGAGGTGCTGTGGCCTAAGTGCTTGGGTCCCCAGGGTCAGACGGGGGAGCAGGGAAGCAGCCATAGGTCCTCTGAGGGGCACGTGGAGGCCCTGCTCCTCCAGGATCCCAGCAGCCCAGCGGCGGAGGGGAACTGGCCAGGGCCATGCGCCCCTTGCCCTCTGCCCTCCGCCCTCCGCCCTCTGCCACGTGGGGCTGCAGAGACAAGCTGCCCGAGAGCCCTCACCAAACCCCAGATCTGCCAGAGCCTTGGCCCTGGACTTCAGCTCTCAGAACTGGGGGAAAGGCATTGCTGTCCTTTATTAATCCCAGGCTTGGCCTTCTGTTGGCAGGAGTGGACATGGGCCCTCTCCATGGGACATGGGGCAGTGCGTCAGGGCCACACGCCGAGGGCCAGGTGTGGCAAGATGGGTCAGAGTGGATGGGGTGATGCAGGAGGAGAGCCCAGGACCTGGGGACGGGATCCAGGCGTGGACACCACACAAGGGGAGGGTGGCAGAACCGTGACTGCATCCTGAGCAGCAGGGCACCAGTGGGCGCCAGGGCTCCGGCCTGGGCCAGGGGGCTCTGGCCTCACCGGGCAGGCTATCGGGTGTCTGTGGCGTGGCTTGTCCTGGGGGAGCGAGAGGGCCTGGGTGAGGTGGCAGCGCCACACCTGGGAGCCAGGAAGCCACAGGGCACAGAGCCAGAGCCACCTGGCCGCTCACGGAAGTGTCCGCAGGACGGAGCAGCAGAGGGACGCGGAGGGGCTCAGGCCCAGGAGAGGGCCTCTGAGGTGGGATGTCGTGTTTTTAGAGTTGGGAAGAGCTGGGCTGGGGGGCTGGAGGGCGGGCCTGCACCCCCAAACATGCCCAGGACGAAGCCCTCACCCCGTGCCTTAGAACACGACTGAGAATGAGCCAGGTCCTTAAAGAGGTGATCAGGCTGAGACGCGTCACCAGGTGGCCCATCAGGACAGACCCCGAGGACTGCGTGAGGACATGGGGAGGAGACGCCGCGGCACCTGGACCCAGACTCCAGCCCCAGGACAGGGACAGTGGTGGCTGTCTGCTGCTGAAGCCCTCTGGGTCTGCTGTTGTGACTGCCGGGAGCTCACACAGAGTCAGGTCAGTCAGGGAAGAAAGATGAGCTGCCGTAACAAGCAGTCCCGCACCTCAGAGGCCAGCTTCTCCCTGCCGAGTGTTCTCAGGCCAGGACCTGGGGAGGGGGCTCCGCCACAGTCACCCTAGGACCCCAGGCTCCGCCCTCCCTCCGGACCTAGCGTGGCGGGCAGGGCTGGGGGTGGGCCCTTCCTGCTGACAGCTGCTCTGCCCCCCAGAAAACAGGCAGGAACCGCCCAGCCCAGTGAGGAGACCCCGAGGAGGGGTGGGGGCCAAGAGAGGCAGGACTCAGTGGACAGGCTGAAAGGTCAGTAGGACGAGCGCAGAGGGCGGCCAGTGGATTTAGGGACAGGTGAGGACCACTTGGCGGACAGTGGGAGAGGCTCTCCAAGGGGCGGCAGCGGAGCAAAGAGGAAACAGTGGTATCGGACGGTGCTCATCCTAGAAGGTGCCCTGGGCGGTGGCATGCGTCAAGGGCCCTGGGGTGAAGGGGAGTCTGGCCTTGCTTTCTCCACAGCTTGGTGCAGTGGGGAGAGAGGCCCAGCCAAGTGACAGGCAGGGAGATTGGCTCCCCTGCACGCAGCACCTGAGCTGCAGCCACAGGACAGGTCCCCAGGACAGGCCCCGGTGGAGGGGGTCGCTGCTCCTTGGGCTCTGCCCTGAGGCCTCTGCTTGGGGCTGGGTTGGTGGGAACAGAGAGAAGGACCAGGCAGTGGGGCCTGGGCTGTGCCTTGTCTGCCCCGTTCTGGCTCCTCCCTGACCCCAGCAGCCTGGGGTAGTGCCAGACACCCGTACTGGGCACGAAGGGGCCTGGGCAGGAGGGCCTCCGAGGCCGACCTGGGAGGGGAGAGGTGGAGGTGGGGGTCCCAGGGTGCAGTCTCCCAGGGTGGGCAGGATGCAGCCTCCGGGCCAGGAAGGCTTTGAGTCAGAGAAGGGACGTTGGCGATGACAGGAGTGATCAGGAAGCGGGTGACAGGGACGAGGAGAGGAGAGGCCGTGTGGCTGAAGATGGTTGTCCAGAGCCGAGGGCCTTGCTGGTCGCAGCCAGGACACCAAGGGGCTGCCCGGCACAGCCACACCCAGCCCTGCAAGCTGGGGACTCTCCCTGGACACTGTGGATGACGGACACGCGAACCCCCGGCCCCACCCGGGGCCTGGGGACTTGTCTGCTGGAAGGGAAGTTACGGGGTATTGGGGTGTGTGCCAGCCCCTCCCCTGGCATCAGAGACACAGGGAATAGCTCCAGGTCCCCAACTCCAGTGGGGGACAGAACCAAACAGCTGAGGAGCGAGCGGGGAAGATCTGGGAGATGCCGCGAGACCGCAGAGCTGGGGGCCTGGGTGGGAGGGGACCCGGCGGAGGCAGGCGGGGCGGCCCCAGGAGGGGCCAAGCAGGCGAGGGCAGTGGGCCCTGGGGGTCCGGGTCTGTCCTGTGAGCCAGGCCTCCGTTCTCCACTTGAGGCTGTGCCGTCTGTGTGGAGCGGGCTTCAAGGAGGTGGGTGAGACCCTGGGAGGAGAGCCACTGCTCCCCACGCCGGCCAGGGCCCAGGGGAGCTGTTGACTGGGGGCCAGACAACACAGAGGCGGCAGGTCACTGGAGAAGGAGGGAGAGTCTGGTCTGCGTCCTGGCATCCAGTGGCTGAGGTGCCACTGCCCGTGGGCGTCTGGGGGGTGCTCAGCCTGAAGGAAGGACCCACTGCTGGCTCCCTCTTGACCAGCAGACCTTGCTGCCGTTGGTCCTACCTGTGCCCCAAAGGACCCTGTTGCCCTCGCTCTGTCCAGTGTGTGGCCTCTGCTCCTGCTGTCCCGGGAGGTGGCGACCCCTCCGGATGACCAAGAGGTCCACTGAGCAGTTTGGCCTCCTCTGAACACACGGGAGCTCCCCAGAGTGGGGCAGAGGCCTGGGTCCTCCAGAGCAGCGTGGCGTAGCCTCACCTGGGCCCCGGTTCCCTGGTCGGTGGCACCTTCCTGTCACATCTTGGCCTCTGAAGTCCCATCCACTGACTCCTGTTGGCTTTTTGCTTTATTTTTTTTTTCCGTTGTTGCTTAAGAACTCTATAGCCTAAGATTTGGAGAAGTTTGACTTAGTAATAATCTCAAGTTTACAGGAAAGTTTCCGGAATGAGAATGGTACCAAGGAGCCGTGTGCCAGCACCCACACCCGCCCCATGTCCCCTCTGTGGTCCTCTCTGCCTCTGCCGCTCTCTGTGCCTGACCGCTCCTAACCTCCTTGAAGATTTACAGTCTGAGGGCGAAGACCCCCGCACTCAGCAACACCAGCAGGGGAACACTGAAGCGCCACTTTACCTCACCCCGGCTCTGTCCCGTGACCCGTGACCCTCTGCTTTATTTTATTTTGTTTGGACCATTTATGGATTTCCTGGTGCAAAAGAACTCAGACTCTTCTGTGCATCTCCTACCCAGCCCCTGCAACAGCTGTGTCTCCAGGGAGCCTGTGCCTTTGGCAGGGGACGGTCTTGGAGACCCGCCCTTGTGCCCCTGCGTGTCCAGCAGGAGAAACCTGAGTGTGCAGACCCACATGCGTCCACACACGCACTCCTGATGGCCTTGCTCACTAAGCCCTCTTTCCCTTGGTCTCCGGGAGTCACGATGTGGAAAGCATGGTTTTATGTGCCTTGTCCACTTCCCTCGGCATGTGGCCAGGCACAGGTCAGCTGTGACATCTGTGGCCTGCCCTCCTCCCTGACCTCCAGGCTCCTGCACCCCACCCCAGTAGGTGTGCCCCTTCCCCTCACCTCCCTGCCTCCTCCTGCCCTCGCCCAGCACATCTGCCAAGTCGTGCCCCTTGTCTCCAGGACACCTGGTCTGCGCCCCCGGCCACCCCCGCAGGCCCCGAGCCCACAGGCCCACGCTGCTCCTGCCTCCTCTGGAGCCCTGGAGAATGGCACCTACCTGGCTCCACGTCTCCCACAGCCACCAGGTTCTGGGGACCCAACTGCTCCAGTGTCTCCATCCACCTGCTTCCCGGGGTGACAGCGCAGGTTTGGATGCCATTCCCCCTCCCGTCCTCCTCCTCTCTGTCTGAGATCTTTCTAGAATGCAAACCTGGCAAGGACCCCCACAGGCCATGTGCTGGCTAGGAGCTTCGCGGGAATTGTCCTGTTTGGCCCCTGCTCTCTGGGGACGTACTCTCTTCCTGTTGGGACACCCAGAATCACCGCGTGGGCCTCAGGGCGCACCTGGCATGGGCGGGTGTGGGCTCAGAGCAGGGCCCATTTTGACACCTGCTGGTCTGGTCTGGCCCCACAGGTCTCAGTGGCTTCACTTATTCGTTCATGGGAAGGTTTTTCAGGCGTCCATATATCCACCCTCCAGCCCAACTCCATGGGCTCGGGGGCGTCTGCCCGTTCGGCTCCCTGCTTTCCCTGCCTACCCCGATCATGGCTGCCGAAAATCTTCCTTTGCCTTAAAATGAAAAGAAATTTCCCTCAGAGTCTGCCTAAACCAGAGGGGCGAGTCCTGCCTGTTGGGAGCGGGGTCCCAGCGTCCCGCCTCCTTCTTCTTCACCAATCTCCGAGGCCCCTCTGCTCTTTCCCTGGTGGGATGGCCTCCATGGCTCTGTGACATCTGTGGCCAAGCTCTGGCTGCAGTCTGCTCCTGGTAGCCACCACTGTGCCCCTCCTGTGCCCTGTGGGTGATGACCACTGGGACGAGGCCAAGGTCAGCTGTACCTGAGCCCAGAACACCTGGGTTCCTCAGGCTCAGCCTCCCTCCCTGATTGTCTCTGGGGACTGCTCACCATGCAGGGTACCCAAACCCAGGCTGGCCTGGGCCCCACTCACAGGACCTGAGGTGCCTGAGCTCTGGACCTGCCCCGGTCACAGTGCCAATGCCTGTCTCTGCAGCTGCACCCACTAGCCCTCAGTCTCCTTCCTTGAACAAGAGCTTTCCCCAGAGGCCTGTCTTTCCCCTACAGGAGCTGGAGGGGTGGCCGAGGCACTAGGCAGAAGGCCCAGGGCTGGGGGCAGGTGATGAGGTTGGGGCTCCACTGCAGGATCCCCAAGCTGGGAAGGCCTCGGGGGTCCTGGACAGGCGTACAGTGGGCGCCCCAGGGCTGGGCAGGCCTGAGGGAGCTATTCACAGCGAAGCTGTCTTGGGCATCAGGCTGACCTGCAGCTGCCCTTCCTACCTCCAGGGACCCGACAGACCCAGCCCAGGACCTCTGGAGGGCTAGGGCAGGCGCTTGGCTGGCAGCCTCCCTGGGCTCCCACTAGAGATCTGTGCAGGGGGACTTTGGGGCCCATGGCACAGGAAGACTGACACCCAGCCTTGCTGTACCAACTCTTGTTAGGGACTATTGGGGACATTGTTCTGCTGCAGCCAGGGCCTGGGCTGAACAGAAAACAGGGGCAAGTGCCCTCTGGGCCCAGGGGTGGCCAGGTGGGTCCTGCTGTCAGTCCTAAACAAGATCAAGGACCCAGCCCTTGCCTGGTGGGCATGAAGCACTGTGGGAGGGCCTGTGTGCCTCTGTGGGAGAGGCTGGGAGGGCCTGGCCCACAGCTCAACTTTGTAGCCAAGCACCTAAGCCAAGGTCCTACGTCCTCCGGTGTAGCCCTGCGCAGAGATGGTGAGGACTCAGGCCCCACTGCCCAGTCAGGGGGCAGGCACAGCATACAGGGAGGTCCCGGGCATGAACACCACCCCAGAGTGATGCTGGAGGAAACACAGGGACAGCAGAGAGGGACCCAAAGTGGCTCTCGGCTTCTGGCCTTCAATGGGAGGGCAGCCTGGGGAGGGGCCTGCCTGCCATGGCCCTGCCTGGCCCTGCGTCCCTCGGAGTCGGTTTCTCTGAATCCCACCAGGGTCTCTGGATGGCAGTGCCAAGGAGCAGTGAGCTCACCTTGGGAACTCCCACTCAGACGTGGCCGGGCCCCAGGGCTCCGTGATGGTGGGTGTGTCCAGAGTGGCCTGGGGAATCCTGGGGCTGGCGCCAACCACGCCCAGCAGCCTGGGGTAGATTCCACATGGGGCTCTCCTGGCTTCCCCTTTTCCCCAAGCCCAAATCCGCTGCACCCTGAGCGCCCTGCCAGCGGGTGCTACGGCCCAGAGCAGGTGGGGAAGAACCAGACCAGACCAGGCATGGGTTTCCATCCTTTATTGACCACGGGCACGAGGCCAAGGCCAGCTGCCCCTGGGGCTGGGCTGGGCGTCGGGCGCCTCCCCAGCTGGGCACTGGGGTTGGGGGGGGGCGGCAGGCGGCCTAGGATTCCGTCTCGAACATCTTCTTCCGGCCCTCCATGCCAGACTTCTCCTCGATGTTCTTCCTCCAGTCACCCACGTCGCGCAGGTCCCGCTCCTGGGGGGGCGGAGAGGTCTCAGGCCCCCACCCACCAGCCCCGCGTCGCCCCGCCTCGGTGTCCCCTCCGTCAGGGGCAGGGCCTCCCGGGCTCACCTTCTCTGTGTCCTCCTTCTTGACCTGCTTCAGGTTCGCCCTCAGGTCCATGCACACCTTGTGCTTGGAGCCCAGCAGCGCCTTGAGCATGGCGTCCGCGGACATGCGCACCCTGCGCAGCGGGGGCCTCTTGAACTTGCCCCTCAGGTCGAACAGCTTCTGGTTCATGTCCTCCAGCTGCAGGGAGGGAGGCCGGTGGGTAGGCGCCCCCTGCCCCGCGCCCCGCGCCCCGCAGCCTGCTGGCCCCTCACCTCCTTGCTGCTCTTCTGCACCTTCACCTCCATGTCGTACTTCTCCTCCTCAGCCGCATCGATCTTGGCATGCAGTTGCTTGCACAGCTCCTGGGGTGGGGGCGGGCAGCAAGTGGGCACCCTCCCCACACCTGGGGCCCACGGCCGCCCCTCCCCACCCCCGCACGCCCTCTCAGGGTGTGAGGAGCCCAGTACCTGCACTTCGGCCATGGAGCCCGGGAGGTGCAGTGGCGGGCAGTGCTCGGAGAGGTAGTTCTGCTTCTCCGTCTCCCGGCGGGCCTTCTCCTTCTCCTGCTCCGTGGCCGCGATCTGGAGCATCACGCTCTGCAGGGTGGGGTGGGGGCCGGCAGTGAGGGGCTGCAGAGACTGCACACCCCGGCGGCCCCCCTGCAGCCAGTACCAACCTTCAGGTGCTGTCTCCGGGCCGTGATGGCCCTGTTGCGCTTCTGCAAAGCGGGTCCAAGCGGGCAGAGTCAGGCCATGGCTGGAGTCCCCCCACCCCAGGAGTGGCCCAGGCAGGGCTCCTGCAGATGGTGCTGAGCCTGGTGCTTCTGAGGGGGTGGCCGTGTCCCCCAGGGCTTGCCCTGCCCCAGGGTCTCTGCCCCAGGGCCCATTCCCTCCCACCTGGGGCCTGCTCCCATAGCCAGGCCCTGTCCCCCCACGCAGCCCAGGGCCTTCCCGAGGACTCTGGGCCTGTGGCTGTAACACTGCTGGGAGGAACGTGCGGCCTGGGGGCGGGGTACAGAAGCGCGGGAGGCTGGGAAGGTGTGTGGGGTGCAGAAATTAGAAAGAAGAAGTGATTCTGGGTGTCCAGGCCCAGCCCACTTCCCCTGCCCCTAGGGCGGCAGGCCGCCACTTCCTCTCTTTCTTCAGTGCCTCCGTGGTTGGGGCCCTTTCCGTGGGGAGGGTCTTCCTTGGGCCTCAGGCCTTCAGGCTCTGCCCTCTGACCATTCTGAGGGGGAGGGTCGTTCCCTCCAGGTTTCAGCCCCCCAGGGGGTACTCACCTCCTCACTGTCCCAGGAGAAAGGAAGGGGGGAGGGGGAGAAAAGAGAGAGGTTAGGGCCCTGCTGGCAGAGTGTGGGCATGAGAGGGGCCTAGGGGCTCACGGGGGCCAGGGTGGTCAGGGGCTGCTGCTGGGGACATGTGAGGGCCGGGTGGGGGGCAGCAGGGGCCCTGCCCTGGTGCCACTTACTCCCCCATCCTGAGGTCTTGAGCTCCGAGCCTGTGGGGAGAGACAGGGCGGAGGCGTCAGGCCCGTGCCACCCGAGGCTGGCCAGGCAGGTGGTGAGGGCAGCAGCCTCCCGCTCGCTGGCCCCTTCCGCCTGCCAGCCCCAATCCGGCCTCCTCAGAGGGCAAGGCCCTGGAGTAGCTCCCCAGGGTGAGAAGCCAGGGAGACAGGGCTCCCAGATGTCCAGGCAGGGCCTGAGGAGAGCTGCAGCTGTCCCGAGGGAGTGGTGGGACGGGCCAGCACAGGTGGCTGCCCACATGGTGCTGTTATTTTTAACTCTGCTCCTTTGGCTTTGAACCCAAGTGCATGCAGGAGTCGCCCCAATGCGGCTGGGGTCTCAGGTCCTGGGCTCTTGACCTGTAAGCTAATGCCAGTGTCCCCAGTTGAGGTCCGGTCATCAGGGGCCTCTCCAAGACCCCTGCCCCATCCTGGCTACCTCCCCAAACGGTTGCTTCTCACTGCCTGCTTCGCGGAACTCCCCAGGGAGGGCTGCTGACAGCTGCCCCCACCACCCCAGCCCCAGACCTTGCCCCAGAAGTCCTCCTGCAAACTTGAGTAGCGCCTTGTCCTCTGGCCTCAGTGGGCAAGGCTGGGCCTCACCTAGAGTCGGGGCAGCAGGGCTGGGAGCGAGGTCAGGCCGGCAGTGGAGAGTAGGCTGGTGGGCCCGGGGGAGGGGTATAAATGGCCTCCCCCAGGCTGGGCCCCTGCTCAGAAAGGGCATGGAGACTTCCTTAGACCAATGGGGGCACAGAGAGCAGAGAGGCCTCCCCACCTGCCCAGGCCGCCTGGCCCGGCCCAGCCCAGGCACTTGCTGCTGGCCTCGTGCTGCCATCCTGTCCAAGAAGTCTTGGGGAGGGTGCGGTTGGGCTGCTCTATTTAGGGCTCAGTGACGAGTTCGAGATACCTCCCTTGTTCTTACAAGGAGCAAGGAGCCTGAGGACAGCGTGGGTGTCTTTGAGTGTGGCTCTTGGAGAAGCCCGCAGCTCCCACATCAGGGGAGCCTCCTCTACAGCGAGCTTGGCCCACAGCACCCGTCTGCCTGGGTCCACATCGGACCCCCTCCTGGACTCCCCAAGCTCTGCTTCCACAGGACTGCCTCGCTGCCTGCTGAGTGGCCCCCCACTCGGATCCTACCGCCAGCTGACTGTTCCCCACTTCAGCCCAGGGCCGGCTGTTCAGGCAGACCTGGCCACGTGCCTCCCTTCTGGGGGAGACCGGGCCCCCAACCTCAGCCCCTGGGCCCTGAACAGTGACCAGGGCTGGGGTGCCACTCTTCCCTGGGCCTGAACCTTCCTCCTGCATGGTTGCTGGAGAAGGGTGGGGCTGGGCTGAGCCGCTGAGCCGCCCCGGCCTGCCACCGCGCCCTGCCTGCCTGCTGGCGCCTCTGAGAGACAACTCAGAACACGTCCTCCACCCAGGACAGCACAGCGACGCCCTGGGAACCTTCCTCTGACCTGTGGGGGCTCGGGGCCCCTCAGCCGCCTGGGCAGGCCCGCATTGCCCTTCTCACCCGGCCAGGCCTCTCCCCACCCGCCCCTGGGGCCCAACCCTGCAAAGGCCCCTCTCTGAGTGGTGGGGCGCTTGGCCCAGCCCCGAAGTCTCCCCAGCCCACGGGGATCAGAGAGACATGAGATGCAGGAGGCTTGGAGCGCTGAAGCCCTCCAGATGTGCGGGGATTAGGAGGTGCATCCTGGGCCAGGGCTGCTCCCCCAAGGCCCCCGAGCAGCTTCCAAAGGTGTCTACTGCCCCCTGCTGCCCGCACAGGGGAGGCCGTAACTGCTTGTCCCTGAAGGTGCCCCATCCCCTCACTCCACTGTCCCCGTCAACACTGTCCCCAGTTTCCACACCGAGTCCCCACAGGACAGCTCCAGCCCCCACCAGCTATTGCCAGCCCTCCAGATGTGAGGTCCCCACCGCATCCTGCTTGGACCCGACCCGAGCCTCTCGCAGGACCCTTCCCCTGCCCAGGGATCAGGGCCTCGGGAATCTGGAAAGGAGAGCCTGCTCCACCCTCGGGAGGGTCCACGGCTGAGGACAGAGTCCCCCGCTGCATCCCTGTCCCCCCAGGGCCCCCGAGAACACATGTGGTGGAAAGAAGGTGTTTATTACAGGGGGTTCCTGGGAGTGGGCTGGAGACTGAAGCTCAGGGTGCTGTCAGGAGCCGGGCAGTGGTAGGTGCAGTCGGGGCCGCAGGGCCAGGATGCTGTCCACCTCCCTGGCAGGCCTCAAACGGTGCCACTGAGCAATGGGCCGCCGGGCATGGGCCAGCATATCTGCCCAGTGCTGCAGAGGCTGGCCGGAGGCCCGGGAGCCGAGCAGCACCTTGCCCACAGGCTCAGCTCGGAAACGCAGACCGTGAGCCCAGACAGCCAGCACCAGGTCCACGCTCTGCTCAGACGGGCAGCACGGGGAGAGGAAGGCCTGGTCAGTCAGCCCTGCGCGAGGCCTTCCCACCCTGCCTCGGCCTCCCCACAGCCCACCTGGATCTGGCTGAAGGGCACCAGGAAGGTGAAGGCCTCGTTGAAGTAGGGGCTGGCCGCGCCCCTCCTGGCAGAGGTCTTTCTCCTCTTCCACTTCCTCCGGTTCACCATGAGCTGGACCTTCACGTAGGGCTCTGGGAAGACGAGAAGGGGCCCAGGACTGGGTCGAGCACAAGGCCCCTAGTCGTCTCCCGAGTGGGCAAGTATGGCCCTCACCTGCCAGTCCTGGACTCAGGCCTCGGGCCTCCAGCACAACCACTGTCAGGCGGCCTGAGCTGGGGACGTACCGCAGCGAGAAGCACAGCTCCCCGTTCTGCTCGGGCTGTGGGCACCAAGAAGGCTTCCGCTGGGGGATCGGCCTGGCCTGGGGGAGTCTGCCTGCACTGCTGCCACCCTCGGCCTCACCTCCTGGGGACCCGGCGGGCCCAGCTGGTACCAGCGTTCCAGCACATGCTGCGGGTCCACAGCTCCCAGTGGCAAATGGAGCTCCCCCAGGGGCCGGTGCTCGGAGAAGGGCTGGAAGTCCAGCAGCCGCACGTGCAGGGTGGTCCGAGGCAGCTCTGCCTGCGGGACCTGCAGAGGGCTGTGAGTCAAGCCTGCCACCCCGGCCCAGGCCCACCCTGCCGCCCCGGCCCAGGCCCACCGCCTGCCGCCCAGACTCACGTGGAAGCAGCAAGTTTCCTCAAACACGGGGCAGAGCGTACCGCGGTGCACCTTCGTCTCGTGCCCGTGCCTGGGCTGAGTGGAGACGCTGACGCGGGCATAGGGGTCTGCTGTGCCCCCCGCCCTCAGGTCGGCTGCCTGCTTCAGGCCCACCTTCACCTGGGAGGCAGCAGTGTGGGCTCAGCCGAGGCTCTCCCCAGCACCCCACTGCTCCCGTCACAGCCTCCTGAACCACAGGGCCTCACCTCCTCACTCCCCAGGTCGTACTCCAGGGACAGCTGCAGGCGACCCCACTGTCGAGGGTCCTCCGGGTTGCCTTGCAGTCTGTCCACATCTGGCTGCACCTGGGTGGGTAGGGACAAGGGACCCTGGTGTGATGGGGATCATGCCCCCATCAGAGAACTGCACTCCCAAAATGTGGCTCCTCCCTGATGTGGGTCAAGCCTCCCACCTCCAGACCAGGCTGCCAGATGGGCTCACCTCCCGAGCTCAGCTCCGCCCCCACAAGGTTCCTCTAGAACCTGCTGTGGTCCCCTGTGGCCCGTGGGCCAGCCTCTGCCCCTGCTTTGCAACGCCCCCCTCACCTTTTTCACCCACTTGCCTTGCCGGGAAGGCCCTCTCTGCCCTGCTTCTGCGTGGGTCAGACTGTCCCTGGGGGCTTACCCCTAACTCCCTGTGCTTCCCTGAGCTCCCAGGAATTTGGCATGGCCCTCTCTGGGCTGAGCCAACATGGAGGTGGGCACCAGGAGGCACAGGTGCCTGCTCCTACCAGGTGGGTGGTGGTGCTGCTGCGGGCACTGCCCAGGCCCACGGCCTCCTTGCCTCGGGGCTGTTTCTTGTGGCGGCGACGGCAGCAACAGAAGGCACACAGCAGACAGGACACAGTGAGGGCACTGGCAGCCAGGGCCACAAGGATGAGTGCCCAGCGGGGCCCTAGGGGCAGGGACTGAGATGCCTCTGTGGACAACCTTGGACCAGCACAGCCAGGCCATCCCCTGCCCTGCCCGGGGTTTCTCCACTCACAGGGGATCCCAGCGATGAGGTCCGGAATGAGCCCTGGCAGAGCTGTGGTGCCAGCTGGGGCCAGGGGGCTGGAGGGACCAGGTGGGTGCCCCATCCTCCTGCCCTGCGAGATGGTCACGGCGGCCAGGTCACCTGGGAGAAGCGGCCACTCGGCTCCGGCCTGTCGCCCCATTTGCCAGGCAGTAGCAGAACAGGGGCTGCCTGGTCAAGGAGGAGGCTGGGGTGGCCAGGGGCAGGATTCTGGGTGCAGCAAGCCAAAGGGAGAGGAGCGCTGGGCCTTGGCCAAAGCCTGAGCAGGCCGCCTCAGGCCTGGCCTCACGGCCCCCTCCCCAGCCCCAGCCAACAGGCCCGGCCCCGGGCAGCCCCTGCCCTGCCCACGCTGGCCTTGGCCCACGAGATGCCTCTCCCCCATTGCAGGAAGTCCCCCCTTCCAAGAACCCCCTCCCTGCCCCTTTCCGGGTTCTGAGCTCTTCCTGGGGTCTCATTTCATGGGGTGGGAGTTTCACCCCCCTCCTCAGCTGGGGTCCACTAGGGTCTGCTTGTTCACGGGTGGACCTGATCACTGTGGCCCCAGGACCAGGGCCAGCTCGGGACCGTGGACCTAGAGCTCTGTGGGAGTCATGGGAGTGAGCTGGGGGTCCGGGGAGCAGGGCTGCACTGGCAGGGGCTCGTTGGAGAAGGCCTGGGCTTAAGGTGCATTTGTTAGACGGGCGCCAGGCCAGCAGTGCCTGGGGATGAGGGCGAGGTGGGGGCAGGCAGGGGCAGGGTGTAGCTGGGAGCGCCAGAACATTCCTCCACTCTGACGCAGCCCTGCCCAGACTCGCCTACCTGCCTGCCCCCACCCCTTGGCATGCGGGTGGGATGGAGGGTGGGGCACTGCCGTCCTGGGACTGCACCCCACCTGCCTGGGGCTGGGGAGGAAGCGCACCTGGCCAGGGTGGTCCCGCCCCCACGAATGGAGGACAGGGTCCCCAGCTGGGGGCTGGGGTTCCTCTCTGACCCTGGGGAGAGTCCTCTCTAGCTCAGCTCTCCCCCATCCCCGGGGCAGCAGCCAGCCAGAGTCTGGATTCCAGCCCTTGAAGCCTAATTCCAACCCGCGCACAGGAGCCCACAGACTTCAGGGGCCAGCCCAGGCCAGCCCCCCAGAACTAACCAGTTGTTGGGCCCTTTCACCTCTGAACCTGTCCCTACACACCATGGTCCCAGGGGTGAACCCCACCCCCCCCCGTAGCATCAGTGTCTCACGGCCAATGGGCTGAGGAGCTCTGGTCCCAGGACACCCCTCCTCAGTGACCAGAGGCTGCACACAGGTTGACCCTGAAAAGTTTTCAGGAGAGTGGACCCAGGCTGGAGCCCACACTGCCTCAGAGCAGGGCCTGGGGCCTGGGGGGAACTGAAGGTGGGGCAGGCTTCCAGGGCTACCACCTGCAGCCCAGACCCCCCCCCCCCCAGAGGTCCCCCATGCTGGGTTAACTGCCTGTCTGTCCTTGCTCCTGAAATCCCTGATTTTTTGAATAAGAGGTTGCACATTTTCATTCCACGTTGGGCCCTGTAGATTCTATATCTGGCCATAATTTGGTCATGGACCCCAGTCCCTGATTTGGTTGGGGCCCCTCCGCCCAGACAGTCTGCCCCGAGACTCCCGAGACTCGGGGCACTGCTCTCCCTCTTGCCCGGGGAACTCCACAGCCCACACGTGGCTGGCAGAGCACCCCTAGTGGCTGCGGATGGAATGAGGTGGCAGGAGCCTCAGGAGGTCCCACCAGGTCACATGGGGTTCCTGAAGTAGGAGGCAAGGCCAGGTTCAAACAGCCTCCTGCTCCCTGCGTGGAACTCAGAGCCACTTTTCCCTTTGAGAAGCCAGAGAACACATGCTTTCTGTGACTGGAGCCGACTCCTGTGGCCTCCTCTAGCCCCGCTTGGCTGGGGGTCCTACCGCCCTGAATCTAAGCAGGGCTGGGGGCAAAGGGCGGGGATGGGGCCTGAACCGTGAATTGGTGTTGCCGGTCTGGCAGGATTCCTGGGCCGGCCTTGCAAAGCCAGTCCACAGGGGACCACAGGGGTTGCCTGGAGGCTGAACATGGAGGGTCTTGGGACCCTGGGGACACCAGTTGCTGGGCTGGGAGAATCGCAAACCCTGCGGGGTCCCACAGGACCTCTGGGTCCCCATGGTGGTACAGGTTCCGGCGGGCACACAGCCACCAGGTGGCGCCGTCCACCCCACTGGTCCCCATCACCTGGCAGCCTCCAGCCTCCAGACTGGGCATCCAGGGGAAAGCACCCAGGGCAGGCCAGACAGGCCAGAGAGGCACACAGCCTGAGCGCCCCACCCGAGCCCGGGACTGAGCCATTCTTGCTGGGACAGCGTCCCCCCGGGAAGGGAAGGCAGGCCTCTCGTCCTGCTGCCTAAAATTAGTGGTCTGTCTTCTGTGGCCCTAAGAGGAAAAGCCTCTTTAGGGGTCAGGGCAGTTTTACCAGGAAAGGGAAACAGGTGTCCTTCCCCAATTGAGGTCCCCACCCCCGGCCGCCTCCCTGTCACCATGTGCACCCAGCTCTGGCTGCCCATCTGGGAGGGCTCCAGCTCATTCCCGAGGCTGCGAGACCAGCCCCACAGTCTCCGCCCCATCCCCCCGTGAGCCCTTCAAGGCCTGCATGAGCCCCACCCCCTCCAAGGAGCCCTCCAGGCTGCCGGCTTTGGCTGGATCCCTCACTGGGGTCAGTGCAGTGGCTGGGTGCCTCCTGCCCACTCTGCCAGCCCAGGCCCGGCACTTACTGCTGACCACTGTCCTCCACCACCAGTCAACTGAGACGCTGGACGCCCTCTGTGTGCAAGATCTCCCCACGGTCTGCTGGCGGACCCCACGTGTGCGGCCTCTCACCTGATGCCCAACACGTCCTTGGCTAGCCGGCCTCAGGCCTTCCTCTCAGACCCTGGACACCAAGAGGCCAGGCCCACTTGCAGCCTGTGGCCGCAGCCCAGTGCTCCCTCTGCCTCTAGTGATCAGGAAAGCTCAGTGGGGAGGAAAGGGTGTGGGAGGCAGGGCTTCGGGGAGCCCCACCTCGTGGCCGGAACTGCTGGCCCTCAGGAGCCAGAAAACTATCCGGGGAGGAAGGCTCCCCCAAAGCCTGGGCTGAGTGTCTGGGCCCCAGCCTATTTCCAGGGGTCCCTCAGGGCTGGAGGTGTCCTGAGCCCCACAGGCTTTTCGAGCGGAGTGATGGGCCCAGCCGGCTGACCTGGGTGGGGGGGCAGACTTGTGCAGGCTTGGCCCTCCGAGGGGCTGCTGAGTCATGGGGCAGCCTTCCGGCACTGCTGGCTGCACCCCACCAAGCGTGAGGAGGGTGGGAGCGGCGCAGGGGTCTGCAGGCCCTCGGGCTGGGGCCGCCCTGAGCCATGCCGGGTGGAGCTCTCCCAGGGGTCCGTGTGCCTGCTTGGTCCTGCTGCCACCCAGCTTCCGGGACCAGGGAGCTTTGTGGAGGCCATCCTGTCTGTGCTATGCCCCGGTCCCTTGAGCTCTTGGTTTCCCAACGGGCAGCCCTGATCTGGATGGCCGGGGGGAGCCAGTGGACCGCAGCCCTCCCTGCAGTCTGTCCCCGATGGTGCCGCTTCAGTGGGGCCTGCACATCCGAGCTCCCCCACTGTGCTCTGGCCAGCTAATCTGGTCCAGTCCCTCCAGGTCCCAGGCCAGGGTGATTCACCAACCCCTTATCTGCTGCTGGCAGTGAGCCGTGGGCTGGTTAATGCTTAACACAGAACCTGCTGCACTGGCAGGGCCCGGGACCAGGGCGTTTGGGCTGCGGGGGCCGGGAGTTGTGCCTGTGTGGCTCGACACTGGGTCCTGCCACGTGGGCGTCCCCATCCTCCACGCTGACCTAGCTGGGGTGAGGGGGTGAGGGGGGGCTTGGAAGCAGCTAACCCAGGAGGCGCCCATCTCAGGGCAGGCCACAGGGCACCTCAGCAAGCAGGCGCCTGTGCTTTAGGGGACACGAGGGGCCCAGAGCACAGCAGACTAGAGCCCCCTGAGCCGCTCCCCAGGCTGGCTGTGTAGGGCTTTGTGCCTCCCCAGGATGAGGGCGCCTCCGTGGCGAGACGGCGTCTGAGGTTCCTGGGCAGGAAGGAGAAAACCAAACAGAGCTGGCAGCCTGCGACCACCCCGCGGCCAGCCCCTCGGCCCCCGAGACGGCGGCTTGGCAGCCAGCAGCCCCGTGGAGACCCTGGCGGGGCTCCTGGACGGGGGCTCTTCCTTTGAGGGCGCCTGGGGAATGTTTGAGGTTGGAACACAAGGCAGACACTGGCCGGGGAGCCGGGAGCTGCTGGCACAGATGTGTGGGACGTGCTAGCTCAGCACGCGCGCTCTCCGCCTGTGCTGACCCGCTGTGCACCCCGACTGCCCGGGTGCCCCTTCTCCTGGAGCCCAGGATGGCCTGGGGGTGCTCAGCGGGCCCTGTCCTCTGTACCCTGAGACCACTGTGGGTGCCCCAGTCACCTCTGACTCAGATTGTCCCTGCTCTGCTCACCTGGGAGGCTGTACCCCAACATTCCAACATCCCAGGTAAACTGAACCCCATCTTCCAGGCACCAGGGAAGAATTTGCCCATCACCCGAGCACCCAGGGAGGTTACCCCATTATCCGACCACATAGGAACTGTACCCCATCTTTGGGAGAGGCTGCACCCCATGGTCGGAGCATCGGTACCTGCTCCCCACTCTGACTGTGACACTGTGTTCTGGTCCTTTGGGCGTGGTGCCTGTGTTCTGAGAACCTGGGCTTTTAGGACGTGCATACCACTCCTTGGGGTGTCCAGGTGAACCCCATTTCCCTGAAGGTCTGGTGGCACCTACCCATCATCTGCTGGCTGGAACCCACTCACCAGCTGGATGGGGGTCTCTACCTCCCTCACTTGCTCCACCTCCTGGGGGTCTGGGGGCGCTGAGGTCCCAGAGCCCCCTTCTGGAGATTTGTGTGAGCCCCCCCACTTTGTCCCAGGCTCCCTGTTCACCCGGGGACCCCGAGAGTCAGTGTCTCTGACCCCACTTGTGAATACCTGGGGCACGTGTCCTAGTCACCTGAGTGCCCTCACAGCCTGGGTGAGCTGGCCCCGTCAGTTGGGGAACAGGACTCTATTCTATGGTCGCCAGGGCCCTGGACAGCCTGTACCGGCTTGCTGAGCCCACTGAATCCCCCATTGACACAGCTTGCGGGCCCAGGGCCCAGGGGCCGGTGCCCTCTTCCTGTGGTTTTGGACGCCTTGTGCCCGTCCCTCGCACGGCTGTATGTGTCCCATTCACCCTTGTCTCTGCTCTCTGTGCACCATTCATTAGTGTGCTGGGCCGCCTGCCCACCCCGAGCCGCCCAGGGGTCTGGACTGTGTACCTGAGCCCACAGGAGCCGAGCCCGACCCAGGCTGGTTTCCTGCTCCAGAGAGGCCCAGCGTCTGGTCCCTGCACCCCACTGGCCTCGGTCTGGTCCCCATGCCCCATACCCCGATTATTCTGAGTCCAGTCTCTGTACCCCATTAGCCCAAGTGAGTCTAGTCTCTGTACCCCATTAGCCCAAGTGAGTCTAGTCTCTGCACCCCATTAGCTTGAGTGAGTCTAGTCTCTGCACCCCATTAGCCTGAGTGAGTCTCTGTACCCAGTCTGGGCACCTGGGTCCCTGCACCCCGTGAGTCTGAGCGCTGGCTCGTCTTCTGAGCAGGTCTGGGTCGTCCCTGTGCCCTGAGGACCTGCGGACGCTCTTGGGGCGGAGTGGCTTCTACCCGTTCCCTGGGGACGCGCTCCTGCTGCCTCACGCTCCTTGGCAATTCTGCGCCTGAACGCTGCTCACCTGGACACCAGACACCTGCACTCATTGTCTGAACACCCGGGGGCCCTGTACCCCAGCATCAGAACGTCTGGGTCCCAGGAGCCCACCCTCGGATATTAGACTGTCCTAGGTGGTCCTTACAGCTGACCGCCTAACCTCCAGTCCCCTCAGCCACCAGGTTTCTGTGTGACCAAGTCCCAAACTCTCAGAGGTCCTGAGTAACCGCATAGACCCACACAGGTGCCCCTGGCCACCGAGGCTACACTAGTCCCACCCTCCCCTGCATAGCTGTCCCCAAGCCTCTGACACTGTGGCCCCTCAGAATGAGTGGATACTTGGCCTCTTGGCCACCTGCAGCCTGGCCCCTCTTCCTGTAGCCCCTGCCCAGGCTCCAGGCTCTATCCCTGGCCTCTGTCTGGTAGCCTGTTCCCCACTCCTCCACACACCCAGGTAACAGGGACCTCAAATGTCACGCACAGTCCTTGAAGCCCAGTTTCCACTAAGCCTTAGTGAGCTGGGCGCCATGCTGCGATCCTCATGTCCCCCTCTTCCCTCATTACCCAAGGGTCTGGACAGCGTGCCCCCCCCCCATCAGGGGCCCTGGCACCCCCCCCCCCCCCCCCCCCCGGCTGTCTCTCAATGTCTTTCACAAGGGCCCGCGTCCCAGGCGAGGACCCAGTACCAGTTCCAAGTCCCATTGCGTCCTTGGATGCTGCTGCCCATTCATCCTGTCCAGGCCTATCAGCCACGTTGTCCAGCACCTCTGTGCCCTGTTCATGCCTGGGGCCAGGCAGACCACCTCCCCCTGAGCATCCAGGGTCCATGGCCTTCCCTGGAGCTCTGCAGCCCCCATCTGAGGAGCATCAGAAGGACATGAACTCCACTGACCCAAGAATCTGGGTGTCTTGCACCCCGATAACTGTGCTACCAAGTGCCTGGGTGATGTGCCTTCTGACTGAATGTCTCCTCATCAACTGGAGTCGGGTACTGTAGCACGTGCCCCTCCAGTGCCCCTCTCAGGCATCCTGTGACTCAGTGTCAGAGTGCATGGGTCCCCAGTGGTCCAGTCTCTCAGCCCTCATCGAGTCCCCGTGCCCCCAGCCCCTCATCTCAGTGCTCACGTAGACCCACGTCCCAGCCTGGGCTCCTGGCGGCCATGCCAAGTTCCACTGCGTCTTTGGATGCCCCAGACCCATTCAGGGGTGTCTGGGCTCGGGTGAGGCCATTCATCCTGTCTCAGGACTCTGTGCCCTATTCATGCGTGGCCCTGGGCAGTCTGCACCCCGTCCGCCCCCATCTCCAAGACAGTCTGTCCATTGTCACCCCTGTTCCAGGAACAGCCGCCGTGCAGCCAGCAGGCACATTCCGGGGTTTGGCTGGGGGCCAACGCAAACCCTCGGATTGCTGGCGCAAGCGTCGGCCCAGGCAGGCGTGGGATGATGGAGGGGCGGGGAGGGGGAGTGGGACCCTCAGTTCGGGGGCATGCGATGAAAGCCTTCCCTGTCCACAGTGTCCTCCAGCCAAGGGGACGTTGGGGTGCGGGCCCGGCCCCGTGACGGAGGCATGGCCTGGACTGCCTGCCAGCAGGAGTGGCTGTGTGTACTGGGTGGGAGGAATGTTCCGGATCCCTCCACCGCGGCTGCCATTTCCTGATGAGGCTGCCCACCCACTGCTGCCCAGCCAGGAAAGGGGGGCCCCCCGCTGCCAGACTTGTCAGTGTTGGCTGGGGCAGGGGTGCACAATGCAGGTCTCACCTCCGGGGCAGAGACCCCTGCCCTCTCCAACACTGGGAGAGACCCAAGGAGGTGGGTCTCTGCTCCTGCTCTCCCTGCCCTCTGTGGCTCTCTAAAAGGTGTCCCTGTCTCCTGACTGCTCCTGGGGTCAGAGGGTGAAGCGGAATAAGCATGTGACCCCCTTTCTGCCCCAGGGACCCCTGGCGTTGTGTGCATGGGACACCAGACACCGCTGCCGACGCGGTGCCATGGTGAGAGTGGCACCCACTCCCCAGGGCTCTTGGGTGACAGGAGCTTGAGGGGCTCTGCAGCCCGTGAGGGCCACCCTCGTCCTGTGGGGGGCTCTGCAGGGAGTCTGGGGGTGGGCTTGTGTTCTCTGTGTTGCCCAGTGGAAGCCAGGCGCTGGGGCCTGCCCAGAAGGACCCGTCTCCGGGTGGTCCCTGTGCTCCAGTTCAGCGCACCCCGCCCCACAGCCCTGCCTGGCCTGCTCCCGGAGGGCCCGGCTCCTAGCACTGGACCTGGTGCAGCGCCCTGCCTGGCTGCTCCCTCAGGACCTCAGCAGGCTCCCTCTGCTGCCGGCCCCACCCTCCAGGCTCCCCAGTGGGGACAGGCCAAGGATGGACCAGGAGTCCTTTTCCAAACAGGTTGGGGGTCTTCCAGGGACGGCCAAGGCTTTCCTGAAACTTGACCGATGGGCCTGAAGAACCGTGGGCACCATGGGCACCGGCTCAGCTGTAGAGACCCCACTGTGTGGGGACCCTGGGCGAGCCTCGGGGTGACATGCTATAGTTAGATCCGTGGCCACCAGGCTCAGGGCTGAAGGAGCCCAGGACCCAGTGGGCCGAGTCATCCTGGCCAGTCTCCCTGCAGTTCAGGGGCAGCTTGGTTGAGGCCACACCTCTCCCTGTCCACCCCTTGCTCAGGCCGGGGGTCGGAGGTAGGGTGGGCCCTCCTCCCTGCCTGGCCAGTGGTGTGCAGGTCCACAAGGCCCCAGAACCGAGTGCGAGTGGCTAAGATTTGTCCCTCAGGGGTCTTCAGGGCCTTTCTCAGCCTCCGGGGGTCATCCGAGGGGCAGTCACTGGCCCCGAAATGTCTGCCTGGTCCCAGTAGGTGCACTCTGGGGGAGGTCCGAAGGCCGGCCGGGCGCAGTGCGGGCAGGCCGAGCCAGGCTCCCAGCTCCCCCTGCCGTCCGCTGGCCGCTCCTGGAAGCGGCCTGACCTCCGGCTCCCGCCCGACCCCTGCTCACACCCCCCTCCCGCCCCCGCCCACCGGCCTGGCTCCGCCCTGCCCTCCCGTTCGGCGCCTGGCAGGCCTTTGAGCGCCCCCTTCCGTACACAGGCCTCTAGCTGGGCCCCTCCACCACAGCCACAGCAGGCCCTCCTCCTCCCAGGAGGGCCGTCCAGGGCCCCTGGCGGTGCAGAGTTCCCGGCCAGGGCTCCCTCCCCACAAGGACTGGCTTCCTGGGTAGAAGTCTCAGGCCTGGGGGGTCTGGGCTGGGCAGAATCCTCTGGACGGGTCCCCTCTGGGCAGCCCTCCCCCAGGACCCTCTCCTGCCCACACAAACTCTGGGCAGGGATCCCTGGGACCCCAGGACCCCAGATCATCCTGGGAGGAGCTCTGGCCTCCTGACCTTGGATCTCCCCCAGCCTCCAACCCAGAGGCCTCGGGCCCCAAGATCAGGCAACAGCACCGAAGTCCCCAGCGGCTGGCAGAGGAGGAGAGTGGCCCAGGAGCATGAGGCCCTCACACAGCTCCAGACACCCAGGAGCCAGGTGTGCCGGGGTCAGGACAGTGGACGGTCTGGCGGGCGGAGAGGCCACCAGCTCAAGGACAGAGGGAGAAATGAGAACCCGTCCAGCCCTGGCCCTGGGAGAAAGCAGCGCGGGGTCATGGGCGGAAATGGGGACTCCCAGGGGAGCAGGCAGGTGGGGCGTGGGGTGTGGGTCTCGGCTGGCTGGAGAGTGCCAGGCAGACCACGCGCAGAGGGGGCGGGGCTACAGGGCCAGTGAGGGAGTGGAGAGAAGGCAAGGGGTTGGGCCCCCAAGGGAGCCCCTCTGGCTTCCCCCAGTGGACTTGGCGGTGACAGGGTCCCTGCCGCCCACCCACGAGCTCCTCCTGAGAAGGCGGGGGCTCTCCTCCCCGGGGTGTGGGAGCACAGGCACAGGCACAGGCGTGTGACTCGCGGACACGCAGATAGGTGTGTGCACAGCACACACAAGCAGGTGCACTCTCTTTCAAGGTGAAACCCCAAAGGCCGTCCCAGCTCCCCAGGGGACCAGAAGAGGGTGTCTCGTCCCGCCCTGCTGCCTGCTTGGGGAAGCCCTCAGTCAGCCGCAGAAGGGATGAGCCTGACTCCCCGTGGCCACCACGTACCTGGCACTGCCCAGCAGGACAGCTGCACACAGGCACAGGACTGCTGCCCTTGCCCCAGAGCGGGTGCCGGTGGGCGAGGGCGTGAGCGGGTGCCGGCTGGGCAGTGCGGGGCTGGAGCTCGAAGCTCCCATCTCCACCCTCAGCCCTGAACACAGCCTTGGCCTTGGTTCCCTGCTGGGCGTATGGGGTCTGAGGGTGGCCAGCACCTGCTGCAGACCAAATCCAGCCTCATCCCGCAGGATCGGGGACGGGCCCTGCCACCCTCCTCCAGGGACCCTCACCAGCACCACCCGCCGGACAGGACCCACTCTCCGGCACCGCTCTCCTCTGCCTGCCATGGTGTGTCCGGCCACGCGTGGCAGCTCAGGGCTTGCTGCCCACCTCTCCTGGGTTCCAGGGCCTGTGGCCTTGACTTCTGCAGAGCTGGTTCTGGTCAGGATGGAGGAAGGAAGAGTGAGGAGCAGGTGCTGCAGAGACCTCCCAAGGCCCAGGAGCTCCCTGTCCCCGCAGCCTGCCTGCCCAGCACAGCCCCAACGGCCCCGAGGCCGCCCTCTCCTCACTCACCCACTGTGAACGGGACCCAGTCGGGGACCGGAGGTGCAGGAACCCTTGCCCTGACCCTGACCTTAGGCAGGAGCCCCTGAGAGTCAGAGCAGTCCAGCTGCAGGGCACACTGGGGGGAGAGTCGGGTCAGCCCGGAGCCCCCTGCAGGGCAGGGTCTTTAGGTCTGTGGGTCTGCGTAGGTCAGAAGGGGCAGCTCACTTCTTCATGCTATAGAGTCACCCCTGGTCATCACACCTGTCACCTGCTTCTTGTCAGCTTGGCTGTGTTGGGACCACCTTCCATTTCAGGGAGTCCCAGCATGGGGCCTGCAGGCACTTGGTGTGACTCTGACCGGTGCCGGGACATTCTGCACTCGAGCTCCCTCTTCTGCGACCTGGCACCCACCTTTAGGGCTGCTGTCGGGCTAGAACAGGTGCTTCAGAGACAGTATGAGGCGCAGAGCCAGAGCCTCAGCGTGGCCCTGTGGTGCTGTCCACAGGCACGTCCAGGCAGCTGTGCCTCTATACTGTGTCTGTCATGCCTCTCGGTACACATGGGCCTCATCTGTCAATCAACACCACCT